ACATAATTACATCCATATTTTCAATGTCCAAAAGATCTTTTTCTTTAAGAGTAACATCCGATTTTTTTCTCATTGATTTGTTTATATATATATATATATATATATATATATATATATATATATATATATATATATATAAACATTTTGACATATTGATTTGTTTATATATATATATATATATATATATATATATATATAAACATATCAATGAGAAAAAAATCGGATGTTACTCTTAAAGAAAAAGATCTTTTGGACATTGAAAATATGGATGTAATTATGTGTGATGAGTTTGACAGTACATGTTATATTCCTCTAGCTCAAGAAGTCTTCATTCAGGAAATTGTTATCGACAATATAGAAGACATCACGGCTATAAATGATTCTCAAACTGATTATTTTCCGAACAACACTGAAAACATATTTTGTAATACACCTAAAGTAGATACTCAAACAACTGAATGTGTACAAGTTACTTATACTCCACAAATCGAAACATATAAAGAAAGAAATGACTGCAGATTAGATAATAGTTCAAACAAATCAATTACTACAAATATTGTAGTTTGCCCAGCTCAACAGGATTTTAACAAAATGGAACTTTTGGATACTGTAAGAAATCCAACTTTCACTACCCCTATGAAGATAAATGTACGAGAAACAAAACTAGATGACATATTAGTGCTACCTAAAACACCTCAAAGGAAGGGAGTGAAACAAAATAAGAAGACGCCTTATGTAATTACATCAAAAGAGTTTAAGGACGAAGAACGTAAAAAAATTAAAGCAAAGAAAGAAAAGGAAGAAGGCATACAGAAACGAAAGGAACATCGACAACAAAAAAAAATTAGACAAAGCTGAACAAATGCTAAAAAAAGAAAAATGTGTCAAAAAAGGAGTTGTCATGAAACATGAAACTACAGAATCTGCAAAAAGAATATTATTTTCGAAAGATTTTTACAATTTAAACATTACGCTAGAGAATAAACAAGAAAAAAACAAAGATCAAAATGAATTAGAATTAATACAAGAAGAAGATAAAACTAAAGTAGAATTGAAACAAGAACAAATTAATACAGAGAAAATGGAAATTAATAAAGAAAATTACACAGGGAATAGTCCCAAACAAAATATTAATTTTAACAGTATTAAAAAAGAAAAAGAAAATGTGATATTAGGAATAAAATAATTAAGCAAGTGCTAAACAAACCAAAGAAAGAGGATACCAAAAGTATTTTGAAAAATATTTAATATTCTGAGGAAGCATTGTGCAATACTCATGAAGAGGAGAAATGTGATGATGATGGTCATATCAGAGCTAACAAAAACTTAAGCATAACTGAAATTGAGAAGATGTTGACCGATGATTAGGATTTGCTTAATATGTGATATTTGATCGGTTCCAGTTAGACTGCGAACTACCTACATAAAATACTAAAATAGATAGTGAGATTATTAAGTTGAGTAGGTTCTTAATCAGACAGATTAATATTTTGTAGTTAGTTATTAAGTTAAAATATCTCAAGAATAGCCATTTAAGTACTGATAAAGTGAGACTGCTAAAACGACGGGGATATCACATTTTTTTATTTCTTTTGTGTCTGTGCAGTTTCTTTTGCCGATTTTTTCTCCAGGAGAAGGAATCCCATTTTGCTGCCAAATCGTAAACAAATGACAAATTAATAAAATACATACACAATAATATTGGCAAAAGTTCAATTTTCAAAATTTGAACTTATTTCTTTATTATATCGTTTACAAATGACTAGTTCTAAAAACTTTCAGTGTTGACCTCGTAGTATAAAGCAAAGTTGCTTCCCGCCGTCTGTACGTATCTTTAAACTACGCTATGGATTTTAATGCAGTTTTCATCAATAGACAGAATGATTCAAGAAAAAGGTTTGTATGTATAATACATATATTTCATCATATCATATTATTATATAATTCCTCTGCACGTGTGTATGTGACTGAACTCCTCCTAAACGGCTGGACAGATTTTCATGAAATTTTTTGTGTGTGATAGAGCTGATTAGAGAATGGTTTAGTTTACAATTGGACCCGGTAGGTGTCGTTGTTGTCGAGATCCAGAAATCAAACGCGAGAAGCCGGGGCGGATCGCTAGTTTAATTATACATAATTTAAATTTAAAAAAAGTAAAAACGAACTTCAATGCACTAAAAAGAATATAATCATCAAATCAAATCGCCAATATTTCGTGCTTTTTCAAATGGAAGTTTATTCTCATGACATTTTCTCATGGATTCTATCATCAGATTTTTACCATATTTATATCCAACCACACCTGAGAAGAATTATTGAAATCTGACAACGTCGTAAAGAATTATCACTAAACATACACATACAAATCGACAAAGTGAGAACCTTCTTCTTTCTTGAAGTCGATTGAAAATAGTTTTCATTCATTCATTTGACTTTATACGGGAATTAATGTCGGAGGAATAAAAGTCATTGGAGCCGTAATACAAATTACAAACGTTGTTCCTTGTTTTTATTAACTACTACCTGCCAGCGGAGGTCTTGACCCCGAAACAATAAAAAAATGGTCGTGTGCTTATAATCATACGATAGACGGGAAAACTTCTGATTTTCCAATTTTTGAAGTGAAAACTTCTTTAGGCTCGTTGAGCACTTTTGGGATGGGGAAAAAGCAATAACCGTCACGCTCAGATACATACATACAGATGTGTGTGTATCATCATCATCATCATCATTACAGGCCTTCATAAGTCCACTGCTGAACATAGGCCTCCCGAAAGGAATGCCACTAAGCATGGTCCTGAGCCACCTGCATCCATCGACTTCCTGCATTCTTACCAGGTCGTCACTCCATCTAGTGAGAGGTCGCCCTACACTTCATCTGCCGGTACGAGACTGCCACTCGAGAACCTTTCTTCCCCATCGGTTGTCGGTTCTTTGAGCTATATGGTCGGCCTATTGCCACTTTAGCTTACTAATCCGTTGGGCTATGTCGGTTACTCTGGTTCTATTGCGGATATCCTCATTTGTAAGTTTATCACACAGAAAAACTCCGAGCATAGCCCTCTCCATAGCTCGCTGAGTCACCTTGAGCGTCCTCATAGGGCCAGCAGTGAAGGACCACGTCTTAGTTCCATAAGTCATCATTGGTAACACCCACTGGTTGTACAATCTCGTTTTCAAGTTTTGAGGTATACTCGACGAGAAGATGTGTCGTAGTTTCGCGATCGCTGCCCAGCCGAGTTGAATCCGTCGATTGACCTCTCGGTCGAAGTTGGATTTACCTCGTCGGACTATTTCTCCCAGGTAAACATACTCCTCATTAACTTCGAGCTTAGTGCTCCCAACAACTACAAGCATGGGTGTGATATGGACATTAAACCTGATCTTTGTTTTGCCCATATTCATCTTAAGACCTATCCTATCCTTTGGGAGACACTATTGAGGTCATTGAGCAGTTGGATAGGTTTCGTACTCTGATTCTGTACTCGGATAGCCATAGTAGCCCTAAGGGACTGTAGCACCACCAAATTTTCGACGGAATTAAAGGCTTTCTCATAGTCCATACACGCAAGGCAAAGTGGTAGATTGTATTCTTCTGTCTTCAGTACAATTTGCCGAAGGGTGTGTATGTGGTCTATGGTACCCGAAACGTCGGGAATCAATATAAAACAAGTTAATTAAACGCGATAGAATCCGTAAAAGTAGTTTTATTCAAAGTTAAGCGCTCTCTATACGAAACAGCATAATTCACACTTGTATTCTGTAAGAACGTGGTCCTAACCCGATCGAGCCTTCCTAATCGCATTGCAGTCATAATATAACTGCAGCATGGCTCTACCACATAAAAGTGTTATTGCTAGAAATGTGATACATTTAATTAAAAGCGATTTAATAATACACTTTAAGCACGTTGCGTATAGCCTCCAGCCTCGTGCCTGTGACAAAGCTTTGTTATTGTATCGATAGTAACAATGAACCATGTATGCATATTGTAAATTTATGGAATATTGAATATTATAATTGCGCGTTGGGTTAGCACAAATTATTACGAAACACCATGAGTTTATTGCCTTATTACATATGTTATTATTATACTTGCAGGAAGTCGATGCAGGTGGCTCAGGACCGTGCGTGGCATTTCTATATAATTAATATATATTTATAATAACTAATATTAATAATAACTAATATATTTGGCGTATCAGTGTAATTTGTGTTTATGCACAGATTTAATTTTTATATTATTAATAATCTAACAATGATTTATTTATTACTTTATTCATAATTTAAATTAAATATTTTAAAATTTCGACCACTGCCAAGATCAAAAAAATATTAAGCAAATATAAATAAAAAGGATTATGTTAATATGTATTAAGGAATTTATGAATGGCAAATAACCCCTGGGAATGAGGTAGTTTCTACTAAGTTATTTCTAATACTACTTATAGTTAATTGTGTCACATAATACATGATTGTAAACAATTATTCTTCCTAAATCTTCCCTGGACACAGGTATTTTCCGAACCAGTGGTAAATTAAACATAAAAATGACCTTAAATAAGTACTATTTATAATGTATACTGGACAAGAAAAAATCCATTTCTATTTCTATTGAATCAATTTTTTTTAATTAATTGATTCTCTATTGTGTTGTAGGCATATCTACACGGTTTAAATAATGTTTTGATTTGTTTTTGTTATTACGACTTTAGATTTTAAGTGTAGTCTATTTTTGCCGATATTAATATTAAGTTCAAATAAAAAAGTACATCAAAAATTTCAATGAGACATTTTATTAAAAACATGTACAATTATTATTATTTATATATTATTACACTGAGCTTGCACCTCAGCTCAGTATCATGTTGACAAAGTTCTCTGTAGCATCCCCTCTCGTTCTAATTATACAAATCCCTATCTTTCCTTATATTCTCCTCACTCAAAAAATATTCTTCTAATAATCTAAGTGGTTTCTTTTTGGCTTGTTGTGAGGTGGGTTACCTGTGGAGGACAATTAGAGATTTCGGCGGTGTGGTAGATTTTGGAGGTGTTTGGGATCTGGTTATTGTTAGGAATCTGGGATTGGATGGAGGTATAAGTACTGGATCCTTGCTGCCGCCAGGAGTGTTCCAGTCCTCATCATCTGAAAAGATCAATTGAAAAACTTGAACTTTCTACATTACTTTCACAGATATTTCCTTTTTATATTTTTGTAAATATTTGAAAGTTAAAAGATGTAATGACTAATTTGAATTGTAAGTACTTTATTATTATGATTTCTTTAATTTATAAAATAAACAGGACTCATGATTACACACTAGTATCACTTATATCATGAAATTATAATAATTATTTTTTTATATTTAATAATTGCAATAGTTAATATACACAAAAGTAGTTGAAGACGTACCTATAGCGGGAATTTCAGATGGTACAATTATTAAATTTTCTGTTTGTGGCTTTGCGAGTATGGAATACTGTTTTATTAATTCCGGCAGATTATTCAACCTGTAAAATAATAAGATATTAGTCTTATTCTAAAGTTGTTATTCATATACATAAGTAATATTTTCTGAATAATATATTTTCACGGAGAAAGTACGAGTATGTGTTAATAATTAATATTAAGATGTTAAAATTAAAGTTTTTACAGTGATTCTTACTAAAGTTCTATCTATGTTAAAGCACCCTGTTCTCTAAGTATGTGAGACATATTTTTTCATATTAATTTAATTGTCTATGAGGTTTTGCCCACTATCTTTTTAAATCACTCCACATCTTAAGCAAACCAAATAAAACGATAATGAACCCAACATTCTCACTAAAGCCCTCTTGACTGATATTGAATGTTTTAGAAAAATAAGACTAGCACTTACTTTTCGCCACTTTTCTTCGTTGCAAGACTCCAATTCATTGGCTGTTAAGTAAATCACATAGCTCCTTGCACTTTATAATACACCACTGTCGTCGTTCTGTGGTTTCGATAAATCACCGTTCCTTGGAAACAAACAATATTCATTATTTAACAGAATAAATCATTATCAATATACAATGAACATATAGACTAAAATACAATCAAAACTGTTGTCTCAATATAGTTAAGTACTTACTTTTCCATTAACTCTACCATTATTGTAAAATGTGTGTGGCTAGTTCTTGACGACATCATTATAACATTTAGCAGGAATTAACTAAAACAAATTCAAAACACAAAACTACTAAAACAACACTAAGCGGAGCGAAATCAAGTGTTTATCTTAAGAAATCCGCGTTCGGAAATCACAATTCATAAGAGGTGAAACATAGTTTTATAAACATAAAAAAAGTTTCTCCATATATAATTATATAAATAGTGTTTTGTCAAATAACTGTTTTACATTAATTAACACACTATTATTAATAAGTTTTATCACGTTTTCTTATTTTTACGCACAATAAAAGACTCCACAAATACAATGATAGCAATTTATAAACGTATCATTCATTTTCATTCGTTCGTTTTAATATTGAGTTCTAAGCTTTGTTTACATTTAGTTACAATATAGTATCGAGTACACTTGAATAAAAGATAAGCGTTCGTGCTGCCGACGACTTTAGTGACAGTTTCGTAAAAGTTTTCGCTTAGTTTACTCTATACGAATTCTTGACGCAATTGTTTATTATTCGTGCTCGAGGTACTGATCATGAGGTCCCGGGTTCGAATCCTGGGTCGGGAAAAAGGTCAATTATGAGTTTTTCATTTTTGTTCTAAGTTATAATTAGTATTACTAAGTTATAGTTTTTTGCTAAAATATAGTATATTATTTATTGCTTGTTTTTTCTTCTTTTTCAAAAAATAATTGAGTACATAAGGTGTTCTATACTTATAATTCGGTAAAAAGTATCTAAGTAGGTACTAATATACCTACTTTTTACTACTAAAAATTTTTAAAACTAAATTTAACTAAAAAGACTAAACTGACCATTTATTTTTTAACTCAAAACAGGACATGGGTTTATTTATACTCTAAAAACTATAACTTTATACAATTAGTGTTCACTATAAAATTATATTCGGTATAGACGGTAATTATTAAATGCAACATATTTTTTTTAATTATTAATTACATTTGTCAGTGGATTAAATTTGCTTTAATAAAGTTGGTGATGATTTTAAATAAGAATAAAATTCTGCTCAAGTTTTTTATTGTTATCTTTGTTAACAACATCGCCTTTAGAACTCTGGAACCGTAAGTGTTTCTTTCAGACGTCCACAATTTATGCAAAATAAAAAAATACTCTTTCTACCGGAGCATTCGTACCAGGTAGACATAAAATATATTCGATTAAAAAAAATTATGTTGAAGATTGTTGACTTTGAATACTTCCATCCAACTAGTTACATGACAATTTTGTGTCCCGGAGCTTTGTTTGGGGACAATGGGACAGGAGACCGAGAAAAGGGACAGTCCCGTTCAAAACGGGACGTATGGTCACTTTAGCTATAACCCGGCGACCATGAAGCAAATACAAAGTTAGTCTTTGTATTAGCTTCATGGTGGCGCAGTGGCTTAGCAATCAGTTGTTGCGCTGGGGGCCGCGGGTTCGAATCCCGCATGGAACAAGTATTTGTATGGCCTACAAATAATTGTTCCGGGTCTGGATGTTTGTCTTTGTGCAATTTATGTTTGTAAACTGCCTCCACGACACAGGAGAAAATCCTAGTGTGGGGGTAACGTTTTTTTACAACTGAAATTGAAAGATTGAACCCTTATACTTCTTGTTGATTTTTGTATTACCTTTATTAAAGTTACCCTTATGTATAAATAAATATAATTACGTATGTAGAAATAAAATTGATTTTCATCCTCATCAATCATTGGGGTGAGGATAATATCTGCCAGCATAAGTTCAAAAATTAGTAGGTAACTTTTCAATACGTGACACGTAAAAATTAACAATAATCAAAAACACATATGCGAAACATCCTATTTATTTATTTTTTTTTATTGCACCAAATATTTGTACAAAAGCCGAGCTATCTATTTATTTACCTATAGTGAATAGGTATCTTTTAAACTCACAATTTTCAATGCTTCAGTTTTAATATATAATTAATTATAAAATTTCATAATTAGATAATATATGAAAATACATAATTCTAATATAATGCAACTAATATATACAGAATAAAAAAATTAAAATACATTTATCTTTGTACGCTATGTGTATTTCCATAAAATAGTTTATTGATGTTGAAAAAATAATACTACTTTCGTACAATAGGTGGCGTCTTACATATTTCTTCCGGCGAGCCGCTCGCTACAATATATTAATATTGTAGCAAGCGGTCAAATGCTCAAGGTCGTTCGCATGGAGTAGCCCCTTAACGCAGACGAAGAGAATAAATTAAAGAATTGGTTAAATGTTAGCCATGCAAAGGGTTTTCCTAAACGGAAAGAAGATCTTTTGAATAGCGTATCAGAATTTATAAGAAAAAACGGCCTATCTAACCCGTTCAGAGACAACATTCCCAGCGATAAATGGTTTAAGCTCTTCTTACAACGACACCCGGAAATTGTTGTGAGAACTCCTGAAGCTGTAACAGCGGCAAGTACTGCCGTATCAGAGAATGATATAAAAGGATGATTTCAAGCAATTGAAATGTACCTGAAAGATCACGGTTTGTTTGAAATTCTATCAGACCCGAAAAGAGTCTTGAATGGTGACGAAACCAATTTTGTTCTCTGTGCCAAGACAGGTGTGGTCTTGGCACCAAAGGGTGCAAAGAATGTTTGCGAAATTGACCACGCCCCAGCTAAAAGTGCACTAACAGTGATGTTTACTTTTGCTGCCAATGGTGAAATCACCCCACCTATGGTGATATTCCCGTACAAGCTCCCGTACAATATTGTGCTCATAGCACTTTATCCCAATTGCACTCGATTACTTCAGCCTGCAGATGTCTCAGCTTTTAGACCTCTAAAAGGTGGTTGGCAGAAGACGGTCTTAGAGTGGCGGCGTGACAATCCATCTCGAGCTCTAGCAAAAGTCGATTTTGTGCCACTATTGCAAAAAAAACTATTTAATGGTTTCCGGGCTACCGGTCTTTGTCCATGGGACTCAAATGCTATAGACTACTCGAAATGCTTGGGGAAGAATCTGAAGAATAAGCCCAAAAGTGAAGCAATACCGGGAACTTCAAGAATGATGACCAAAAAGGATTTTATCAAATATACAGGACAGTCTACAATAACAGATCTTATAAACAAACAGGATTTGACAGTGGCTGAGAAAATTTTAAAAAAGCTGTGGTATTTCTTTAATGGAAACGAAAACAAGCAAACACATAAAGAAAATTTTGAAGAAAAAGAAGTAAGAAAACCGAATGAAAACTCTGATACAAATGGAATATATATATATATTCCATTTGTATCAGGAATGGTGTATATATATACACATAATTACATCCATATTTTCAATGTCCAAAAGATCTTTTTCTTTAAGAGTAACATCCGATTTTTTTCTCATTGATTTGTTTATATATATATATATATATATATATATATATATATATATATAAACATTTTGACATATTGATTTGTTTATATATATATATATATATATATATAAACATATCAATGAGAAAAAAATCGGATGTTACTCTTAAAGAAAAAGATCTTTTGGACATTGAAAATATGGATGTAATTATGTGTGATGAGTTTGACAGTACATGTTATATTCCTCTAGCTCAAGAAGTCTTCATTCAGGAAATTGTTATCGACAATATAGAAGACATCACGGCTATAAATGATTCTCAAACTGATTATTTTCCGAACAACACTGAAAACATATTTTGTAATACACCTAAAGTAGATACTCAAACAACTGAATGTGTACAAGTTACTTATACTCCACAAATCGAAACATATAAAGAAAGAAATGACTGCAGATTAGATAATAGTTCAAACAAATCAATTACTACAAATATTGTAGTTTGCCCAGCTCAACAGGATTTTAACAAAATGGAACTTTTGGATACTGTAAGAAATCCAACTTTCACTACCCCTATGAAGATAAATGTACGAGAAACAAAACTAGATGACATATTAGTGCTACCTAAAACACCTCAAAGGAAGGGAGTGAAACAAAATAAGAAGACGCCTTATGTAATTACATCAAAAGAGTTTAAGGACGAAGAACGTAAAAAAATTAAAGCAAAGAAAGAAAAGGAAGAAGGCATACAGAAACGAAAGGAACATCGACAACAAAAAAAAATTAGACAAAGCTGAACAAATGCTAAAAAAAGAAAAATGTGTCAAAAAAGGAGTTGTCATGAAACATGAAACTACAGAATCTGCAAAAAGAATATTATTTTCGAAAGATTTTTACAATTTAAACATTACGCTAGAGAATAAACAAGAAAAAAACAAAGATCAAAATGAATTAGAATTAATACAAGAAGAAGATAAAACTAAAGTAGAATTGAAACAAGAACAAATTAATACAGAGAAAATGGAAATTAATAAAGAAAATTACACAGGGAATAGTCCCAAACAAAATATTAATTTTAACAGTATTAAAAAAGAAAAAGAAAATGTGATATTAGGAATAAAATAATTAAGCAAGTGCTAAACAAACCAAAGAAAGAGGATACCAAAAGTATTTTGAAAAATATTTAATATTCTGAGGAAGCATTGTGCAATACTCATGAAGAGGAGAAATGTGATGATGATGGTCATATCAGAGCTAACAAAAACTTAAGCATAACTGAAATTGAGAAGATGTTGACCGATGATTAGGATTTGCTTAATATGTGATATTTGATCGGTTCCAGTTAGACTGCGAACTACCTACATAAAATACTAAAATAGATAGTGAGATTATTAAGTTGAGTAGGTTCTTAATCAGACAGATTAATATTTTGTAGTTAGT